TGAAGGAAAGGTAACCTACTTAAGGAAATAACAGCACTGGGTCAGTCTCTAAAAACCTGAAAGATAGTATACTGAGGGAAAAGTTTCTGTCTGATAGGCAATAACGTAACTGCATTTGATAGCTTGAAAATAGAGAGAAAGATGAAGATTCTAAAAGTCTATTCCATCTAGAATTCTGCAGGATCCCTTATTCCTTCAAAACTTACATTAGAAATGTTTTTAAAAGTACGAATGAAACCCAGCCATAATTAATACACGTTTGAAGAATTCTTGCATGAAATTTCATTACTTGCATATAAAGTTCAGGCTGGATTATACATCAGAAGACCTTCTGGTCTTTAAAGTCTATGTGACAATTTCAATCACTGAAAATAACCACTTTGGATTAAAATAGGCTCAGACAAATGAGTTTGATAATTCATGCATGATCTGATTGCTGGTGCCAGATCTGAATCCTAGTGCAACTAGACACCTTTGTTGACAAATACAGACACAAGTATCAAAACCAGAAAAGAGAAATCCAGCAGGATGATCAGCTGCTTAATGCATCATATTGAAGGTCTGTCTATTAGGAAAGGTCTCTAGTAAAAAATAAAACCAGGCATTTCTATATTTAGCAATACTTAGCAGGCTTTGTGCGCCTTTCATTCCGTTATTTAAATTCCTCATCTCGACTGTCCCATTTCTCTCGTAGCTGCTACATATGACAAAATATGTCTATTATTAACTTTTTGATAGAAAAATAGAAAATATTTCACAATATTGAAAAAGCAATGTCTAATCTAAGGATTTCTTGAATGAACAGGAAAGTATTAGAGAGCCATCAATTATTATTAGGAAATCCAACCATGCCACAAAGCTAGCCTTATGGCAGAGATGCCAAATGGCCATAAATCTATCTCCTGCTAACTATAAAAGGAATGAATGAGTCCAGGAGAGCTGATGATAAACCCTACTAAAATGCCAAGTTGTCAAATTATGAATTAAAGAAGGTATTCAACAACAAAGGTGATCTCCACAAATTAGGAGGATCTTCAAGCATCTTTCTGCATAGTTGATTGTAGGTTTATTATGTGCTTCTAGACTACATTGCCAGCATAACAGTTAGAAGTGCTATATCCTTGAAAATTATATGTTCTGTAACTAAAATCAGTTCTATCTGCAAGTTCGTGGGATCTCCCCACACATTCATCACAAATAAAATCTATGAACAACAGTAACAAACAAACATTTAATTCAAAAGGCTCCACCCTTTGAAACCACAAACAGGTACTACCACACGTCTGACTTTGATCATGCAGTAACTATAATAAACATTAAACATTTCAAAAGGTAAAGTTTATTTTCTTAAAAACCTGTGAGTGTCAAAATCACTTTGGGTAGTGCTGTTTTTAAAGATACCTTATTTATGTCAACAGAACTTGGAGGTGAAATTGTGCATTCAAAATATGAGAAACTGAGCATTTCTCAGTTTTCTTATGAACGATGAAAAATGAACAGTTAGTAACTATAGTTACTTATCTTGAACACTTCATCAGAAAATAAACATTCCACCAAAAAAAAAGTTTCACTGGAAAACCTTCATATAGCTGAATTGTGCTGTATTACATTTTTCCTATTTAAAATGAGTGCTATTTAAAAGCACTCTTCAGGAGTGCTACTTGAAAATGGCAGTGGTACTTCAGTGTTAACACTGCACTGTTTAATCAGCTTATCTTACATGTCCTCTTTGTGCAGTTTACAGAACAATTACATATATTAGGTGTATATAATGTTAGACATCAGACATGCAAGCATCAACTGGCTTGAAAAATCTGTATATTCTGTTTTTGGTTTTTGTTCTGGTTTGCTTTCTTGGGAGTGTGTGGGTGTAATTTTTCTTCTGTGGACCTCCAGAAGATTAGCATGTTTTTAACACAGTTGGAAGTCTGAAGGTGCTTTTGGCAGATGTTTTTTTCCCATACTTTAAAGAGATTCCTTGATACTTACTGGAAAACGGAATGACATTCGGTTTGCAGGGAAGCCCACCTGATGCCACACCAGAACGGGGAAGGATTTAATTCTAAGCGGTTTGGCACCTGTAAGACACTGTGGGTCACAGTAACACACAATGTCTTTCAAAGCACGATGAAACCACTGTGCAGCATGGACAGACATTTCTGGATGGAGGAAAATGGAGCAATGACAAAAAAAAAAAAAGCTAGGAAAAAATCAAGTTATTCATGTGTTTTTATTACATTAAAAAGGAGGAGGTATTATATAAGTCCTTGGAGAGTTTGGAAATCACCCTACTAGATGCCAGGTTTAAAGACCTTCTGGAAGGGAGTCCAAAACTTTTTACCCACATTGTTTTGAAGAAGCGGGACTGAGAAGATGGGATAAACAGAGTTCTCTGGGTTTCTTTGGAGAGCATAGGTAATGCCTATATGGTAATTACTGCTAGCTATTACTTGCCTCTATGGAATCTGAGCTTCTTAATTACACAAAGCTTTAAAGCACTGCACAGATATAAGGCGGCTTTCTATATACCCAAATAAATAAGTATATAATTTCCCCTGCTTTGTTTATTATGAAGGAAGACTGCACGAGTGCATTCAATCCCAAACTAATATAATCAGAACAATTCAAATTTCCACCAGACAAGGATCTGGTTCAGGATCTTTACTTCACATAATGCCCTCTAGCAAAATTATACTATCGCATACAGAAGGGAAGTAATCAAGAACGCGCAAATTATCCATTTGATATGAAACAGAGGAGCTCACAACTCACAATAGAAGTTTAGTGTTACTGATAACATCCGAAGCCCAACTAGCCCGAGCCTCAGATGCTGGCCCCAGTTTTAAGAAACAGCCAAGGTTTTCCTGGGTATAAAAAGCTAATGGCATGTCTACATCCCTAGAGTAAAACCATAGCCAGGAAAAAGGTGGATTGGCCAGAAGTAAAGGACAATTTGCTGTCAGAAACTAGACACCTCTCTGAGACCATTAAGACCTTTTGCTGGACTGTGTTCAGGAAAAAGAATTTGCAGGACCACCCAGACAGAATTATTTACTGTCATCCTGTTCTCACTTCATTGGGCAAATCTGGTTCTTTCTTTTGACATGGGTGCTTGGGTTTTCAGTATTCTATATCAAGACCTATGTTGCTTAGAAAAATACAAGCATCACAGAATTGAAAAAGTCCAATAAATTTCAACTTTCCACTCCCTCAACAAATCTCTTGGGTCTATAAATCTCAAAATACCCAGAGATCTGGCATGCTCTGCCAGATGAGATGCTGCATACAAATCTAACAAGTGATAACATTTTCTCAAATGTATATCCATTTCAGAGGTGGACAATGCTCATAGGACATAAAAGAAGGCTTACCAAGAGCCCATAGAGTTTTTGGAAATAAAGAAGGCAATGTGAATAACAACTGAAAAGTAGGTCAAATTCTAAAACAAGAAACAAAACAAAAGGAGAACTGGTTAAGAAAAGGAAACTAAGGGACAAAGCTAAACCTGGTTTTAGCTAGGTTCGATTATATCTTTTCCTGTTCGGAGATTTCTCTATTACTGCCCCAAGGGGATTAGAAAATGATGGGAGTAATATCAGTTGTGTCCTGTCATCTTCAGAAATATCATTGCTCAATTTAAAATCACCTTACGGGATAACATTATTTTTTCTATGAAAGTATGTTGTTCTACAGCTGCTGGATGTAATTATACACAAATTTGAGACGGGACCTACATCCCAAGGACTGAATATGGTTGTCATTTTCTGATGGTGTTACATCAGAAAGAACCCCAACTGGCTTAACCTGATGTAGCTGCCTTGAAATTGACAGCAATGGACTCAATTGCATCAGCCATGGATTTGACCTGCACTTAAAAGTTCGTAATATAGAGGAGTACCAGAACTATCAATATAAAATTCTCACTTTTGAACTTTCTGTTCTCTGTTATCCACCATTTATGTTTTACTTACATTACATGAGTCCATATCTGAAAAAAAACCTTGCACAAGGTACAGGATGCCAAGTTGTGTTCTAAAATAAATACACTTTTCAGGACATCAAAGAGTTTATTGTCCCTTGGATTCATTTGGGGGCACACTTGTTGACATAAGGTACATGCTTAGGGTAGATGAATATTTGTTTTCCATAAAATCAAACTCAGCTCTGCTGACCATACATAAATTTTAGCAAATAACTGTCTGCTGTTTGCTTAAGCAATTCCATACATTGCATTTATACACAGATGATGAAATGGGGGAAAATCTATCAATAACTGTGCCACATGCAGCTGCTGGGACCACTGATTTTTAAATGCTTTAAAATAGCCTGCTCATAGATATTCCTGTCATAGGTGACAGTTTTAGAGCATAGCATATATATATAAGGACCCCTAGTGATATGGAACTTGAGAAGGAAGCTATGCACTCTTATCCATATGTGAAATTCTAGTCTACCAGAGATACAGAACTGTCAGATACAGTACTGTCTCCACAGTACTACTGAAAAAAAAATTAAAATCAGATGATAAGGAAGGAGTAGCAACCATGTACCATTGCCCTCCCCACTGTAACACACACCCAGCAAAGGCACATGAAGTCCTGCTGGAAGCACCCTAGTTGTAGCAGTTTTCTAGTTATAGCAGTTACTGCTAGCTATAGCACTTCTATACACTATGTAGAAAAGGTCCAATGGAAATAACGTTAAAATCACTCTGTTACAAAGACTTTCTATAAGACTAACAAACAGGCTTTTAAAACTTCCTCCAGCTTCCAAAACTTCTTCTTAATACTTCTTCAGGCTTTTAAAATGTTTAACATGAAAATATTTTTTCTTTTATGTATTTGCCACAGTGGGCTTCTTACCTGGATGCCCTTCTCCTACTGACTCCGATGTGAACATGAAAGCCCCTTCATCATCCAGCGTGTAGTCACATAAACCATCCACTGGTCCATTCATGGTTGTGATGCTTTTCCAGGTGGATTATTTTAAAATGCGGTTGAAGAGTTCTAGCCTTAGTGCCTTCTGTTAAAGATGAAGGTTCTTTATTAGCAGGACTGTCACCGTCTTCACTCACTACCTGTAACACTAACTTGAATTCAGCGTGTGATTCTGGAATGGGCTGGTATCTGTGCGTGCATGCAAGGAGTATGCATGTGTCTGAAGTCTGTATCCCTACCTAGCCTGATCTGTCAGTCTCTGGGCTGCTCCTATATATGGAAAAGTGAAAGTGCCCAGATAATCATGTGAGGAAAATGGAAGAGCCCATTTCTTGGTAGGGGAGTAAGTTAATTTGGGGATATTTCACTAATTAACTTTGTTCTTGGCAACATTCTAGATTCAACCTATACAAGATTGGATACCATAGGAACTCTAATGAAAATGAAGTAATCCAGGAGTACTGGTGACAGTTCAGTTTAGCTGCTTCTTCAGTTTGTGTCTCCCCTTGTTCTGGGATCTGTGTTGTGTTTCCAACCGTGTGTTGTGGTTTCACAGGGATAGATGAAAGATCTGTAAATGCACGCCTTTTGTAGCAGAAGACTGGGAGAAGTTTGTTCTGCATCATGCAACTGTATTTTACTGTTCCCTTTTCATCTCTTGAAATGTAGCATTCTCTCCTGAAATATTTTTTTCCTTTTCATACATTACTTTTGCACATTTGAGACAAGAGACACCTGATAAGATATAGCACATGACACATTTCTCCTTTATGCACACCTCTGCCTTCAACTTTAGCCTTCCTTTTCATTTGTTTTCTTTTCTGTTAATTAAGATCCAGCTTAACTTTCAAGAATCATATTCTCATATTACATTCTGTAACCCACAGAAATACACTAACTGCCACAATTGGGTACTCAGTATTCAGTTCAGCTACCGAAAATGTCTTCAGTCAGATGGCTAATATTTGGAATATGCTGATGGTATGACAGGTATGAACACAGAGAGCATTTTGTGTAAGCTTGTATACAAAAAAAAAAAAAGTGTAAATATCTACATGAGGCAGACACAGAAAATGCCCAGCATCATTAAAACAAAACAAACAAAGCAAAACAAAAGAAAAAAAAAAAGTTTAACTACTCTTAATTCATTTACAGATATCATTCTAGTCTCAACCTCAGACCGAACCATTGATCTACCAAAATCAAATTCTCCCTTTACTTCAATGAACACAGAATCATACTCTCTTAATCATTCACTCAGATGTTAAAGTACCTGATAGTTGGATTGGAACAAATGACATGCTGCTTGTACCATAGCCCCTGCAATTTTGAGAGCACTGACATCCTTACTGTTCTTCAGTTTAAAAATTTAGTTTACTTCAAACTCTTTGTCAGTATTATTCTAAATGACTAGTCCCTTGGATTCAAATTTCTGCATTGCTACATATTAACGTAAGAATTCATTGGAATTTTTTACTTTCTACCAACATTCCTGAAAATGATGATCAACTTCTGTGAATGTTCCCCAGTAATCTGCTGTAGCACTGGCCCCCTTCTAATGATCATTGAAATGGAATAGTTTGTTTCAAAAAAACAACCTCTTGGTATTCTTTCGCACAGAATTCATGCCAGAGAATGAAAAGCACTGGTTTAACTTAATAATGCAGAATTCACATATCAGACATGTTATGAGGCATAGCTTTCTCTGGAGTAAACTGTCATCACCCCACTGACACTAGGATTCTATCTGTCTGAATAAATTCTGCATTAATAACACCTAGAAAAATGGAATTAAAAAAAAAAAAAGAAAAAAAGAAAAAAAAAAAAAGACCAAAGAGTAACTACTTAGATTAACTCTAGTTAATCAGTAACATTGAAAAATTATATTAACTTTTAAAGTAAAATAATGTTGGTGAGATTCATTCATTCTTAAATGCAAATGCCTTTCTCCATGGAAACACAGAAAGACATGAGGGGAACGGATGAAACAGCTCTGACAAAACCTCATTTTGTACACATAAGAGTTCTCTTTCTAATTCTATGAGCAATCCTCCAGCAAAAGTAGACAAGACTGAATGGTCATTCTGTAACTTCCACTCTCTCTTGCTTCTGTTTTTGCTTTGTCTTGTTTTTCAATGCCACTTAAGAACAGAAAATGTAGTTTGGGACTAGACTTTTTTTTTTTTCAGGTAACACTTAAGCAAAATGTAGAAACTGGCCTCTCACATAACCTTATTCCTCTCATATTACCTTATTTAAAAATAAAAATCACAAGTTCTTAAAATGCTGAAGAGTGCAAGTAATTTGACACACAAGTAATGAGTTTGTAGTCCCACTGTTTATTTTGCCTTTGCAGTTCTTCCTATTGAACTCTTTTCTGCCTAGTTAAATGCATTTGTCCTTGAGACCTATGGAAGGTCACCCTTCATGACAATAGCCTCACTGCTAATAGTATTTTAGAAATGCTGCACAGCTGCATTTCACATAACTTGTGTAAAACCTCCAGTTTGAACTGCTTCCAGGTGTGGTTTTACTATCAAAAGAAACACATTTGCTTTATGGCCATGAAGCACCTCAGCATGTTGTTTTCCAGGACATCTTCCAGGACTCTAAACCAGTGTAGGGTTAGGTAATGTTTAATTTGGCTTCTCTTCGCAGACAATTTGACTTGTTAAATATTTGTAAAAAGGTAAGATAGTGTTCTATCATCATGTGTAGATCTCCTGCCTATGCCAAAAAAAAAAAAGAAAAAAAGAAAAAAAAAAAGATAGTAAAATAATGATTGATATAAGCATTTTTCCCTATTCCCTTTTAAAGATAGCAACTCATCTATCAGTGTAACAGGCTTCCAGAATTTCTATTAACTTTACTGCAAAACTCAACAGCTTTGTGGTACTGAGCCCTAAGAAAGTTAGTTTCTCTGCATCATTTTAGGTACATTTAGACTATAATCTGTCACCTTTACTCAAAAGATACCTAGAGGCAAAATCCTCTGAAGCTTTGACTTTGCTTTGAAATGAGGCTAAATGACTGCTTTGCTTTGAAATGAGGCTAAATACAAGACAATAGTAAAAGTTACACTGTCTAATACTCTCAGTATTTATTCATGTTGACAGTAATGACAATCCCAACCACTGGAATAGCAATGCAACTCTTTCTACTAATTGTAATCTGTTTGGAACCATTCCATGTTCTTGTTACTTTTACTCATAGCAGATCTGCAAAACTACCCCTCTTCTAGTTCATAAAACATTTGTCAGCTGTCTGAAGGCATGGTTTTATGGCAGCCTTGAGAAAGCCCTGGAAGTAACAAAGTGAACAAGAAGTAACTTAGAACAGAATTTTATGAATGACTGCTATCAATGTTGCAGATTCTCTAGACAGATATGACTGATAAATCGCCTTAACCCTAGACCTTTCATGACATAGTCTCATTAGTTCCTTTTACTTGCTCACCTTCTCCTTTCCTGCCCTTATCAACTTTTATCCTTTGTTCCCCTCCCCTCATCTTGTCCTACTTATATCCTTTTGGTTATTTAAGACACGTTTCTTTTTTTATTTTCCCCCCCCTTTGCTTACTCTTTTTACTCTTTTCTTTCTCCCTACATATCACTACTGATGTCCTATTTATGTTATAAAACACTGAGAATGGAGCCTACATGGATGAATAATATCTGTAGAAATGAAAAATACGCTTAGATATAAAACACTTCCAAACTACCACAACAGAAGGGAAAGGAAGAAGGTAGCTGTCCTTAAGAGCTGGACATCCTTACGTAAAGGATGCAAAAAAATATTTTCACTGTACAGGTGAAGCAGTACAGGTTTAAACTGTTGTACTGTTTCACTGCAGTAGCAACTTTTAGGTAACTCCTTTTGAGTAATGAGGAAATTATGTCAAGAACTCCTCAGATCTCCTAGATTATTAGAATCAGTCACAGGAAAACCATTCCTTAAGCTTTGCAATTGGCTCTCTCACCACAACTTTCAAAAGCACTGAAAAACAAATCAATTTGTAGAGACCATACACTTCATGTTAACTACACTTCTGTTATCATTAAAGGACCCAAACTCATGCTTAACTTTTACCAATACACAAGAATACCTCATAAATATGAGTAACACATATGAGAGTGTTTTCCCAAATACTTTTATTTTGTTCTCTCAACTTTATATTCAGATAAGATGTTAACTGTTTAACAGACTAACAGTAAAGTTTCTTATCTTGCTATTTTATTGTCACTTCACAGAAATATGCAAGGAAATTACTCCTAACATATGTGGAACATGTAGAAATAAATTCCACTTATGTGGAAAATGTAGAAATATATCTTCTAATTGAGGAAATAATTCTAATACCAGTTTTATCAGTGCTGTTTAGAATAATTATTTAAGATTAATACAAACAGTGTGTTTTCAAGAAGGTAGTGTAGGTCATCTTTTTTTCCTATTAGAAATAAGCATTACATTACGGAAGCATCATGAGATGTCTTTGAGGGCTTTTTGATTTGTTGATAAAAAGATTTGATTTATCTTTTATATTTTGTTTTAGGCAAGCTGGGGGGGGGATATTTTGTTTTTGAAGTTACCATAAGGAAGATTTGTTTAGTTGGGTTTATTTCTTTTGCATGAAGAATGACAAGCAAAGCAATAGACAAAGCAATAGAGCCCGTATATCAGGAACTCAACACAGAACTCCCACCTGCTTCAAAACTCTCACCTTTACTTATTATTACCTGAAAATTCTGGCTCAAGGCCTCTCAGACATGCAGGTGTAAAATTTCACTGACCCATAACCATTCAGGGCAAAATCAAATATTATGGGACAGAAAAATAAAACAACAACAGCAAAAAACAGATTGTGATTGCACAAAGAAAGGAAATGTTATGTATGCTGTGATGAATGTTTATCACCTAGCATTTATTCTTTCATACCACCTTTCTCCTTCTCACTCTGGGGTCCAGGACCTCCTGCAAACTCTGCACACTATCATGAGCAATTCATTTTCGTTTTCATCCTTGAGCTTTCTAAATTTTTGAGTGAATACCAATTCACAGTAAATTCTTACTGTGCATTCTATCTGACTTATTCCACAGTTATTTCAGCTTCAGAGATTCTCTGCTGTGTCTCCCATCTACCTTCCTCCCTACCTCCTAAGAGGTCTTTTCAGGTTCTTCCACTATTAATAAGAAAGAAAATAATTATTTTTGCACACATGTGCTTGTCCTCTTTGCACCTGTTTGACCTTGATTTTTCTACTCTGACACATCACTGAATCACAGAAAGGTTGAGGTCTCTAGTCCAACACTCTGCTCACAACAGGACCAACCTAAGCAGGTTGCTCAGCATAATGTCATTAAGTAACATGTGCCAGGGCCATGAAGTAGCAACTCTAAGGTGCTTCTTATGAAATAATTAAAGTTACTTTGGAGATTAAATTTTGCTTTTATTAAAGTCAAATGTAGTCTTGATTGCAAATTCAATAGGAGCATTACTTTCCCAGAACTGTGCCACTATGGAGAATTGAATACTACTTTGTTTTCTGTTGATATTTTTAATAAAAGTCCTAGCTGTTTATGTGTAAAACCTGAGATCATTCTTCAAGGGTCTGTAGATAGAGTACATGTTTACAAAGTCAGGCATTTTTTACAGCCCTTAGACAGACACCTCAGTTTCTTGCATGTTATATAACAAAAAATTGCTTGTTTTTTTCTAAATCAATCTTCATAAATTAGAATTGGTAAATCAGAAAAGGTAGAAAAATAACAACAGTAATTGAAATTTAGGGTTTCACTTACATCTTCTATCTATCTATCTATCTATTTATTTATTTAGTATGTTATTACTTAAACAGCATTAAACCATCCTGGTATATAATACTTCTGTCTTTGTCAGTTTTTCTTATTAAAGCATTTGCTTGTGTTATGTCCTCATATGAAGCCCTGCTACAACAGAATCATAAACTCTATATGGGTCCTCCATAAATGATGAGATAGAATGGAGCCCTATTTCATCTTCACCTCACATTGCAAAAAGCCTTTTTTTTAGTTTGCAAACATGATACTGTATAACTCCAGATTTTGCTTATGATATTTATGATAAATTTAATAATTTAACCCATTCATTGCTAAATTTATGTCCTGGACAGGAATGGAAAATTCTTAAATTATAAATGGGCTCCCTCAAACCTTAGAGGAAGCCATCTATTTTCCTTGCATGTTTTTTCCAGCTGTCATGGTCAGTTGAGAATGACTGTCACCTGCCGCGTAACAAAGCGCAACCCTGAAGTTCAATTGCAAGGGGTGTGATCATACATCAGATACATACAGAACCACAATTCCTTTCTGAGCAAATAGTTAGGACTCCTTGTTGTTAATGACAGGTCTAATCACCTGTCCAGACTAAATCCCTTTACAGCCACAGATCTTTATCTCAAAAACAATTTGGCTAGGGTAACACAGCAGTCTTCCAGCAGCTTGGGATCTGTACAATCTGCATTTACATGTCTTACGACATTATTAGTGTATATATGTAAACCATTAGGATTTCCTCAGTACCTTAGGAAACAGACTGATACATTCAAATAGCCATTACCCAACAGTTTTTGCTGCAGTGGTTCATAGATGTTTACAGTACAGGTGGTCTTTGGACTTTGAAACAAATATTGACTCTAGTACATGAAGTGAGGTTGCAGGAACCTATTTGCAGGAACACAGTTGTGGAATCCCTAAGTGCTGGCTTCCTGACAAGGAACATTAGGTTAAATTCAGATGCTTTTTATTTCTTCTAGGTATGTAGTGCAAGAAAGGACCTTTCTTTCATGTGGTATAGGACTAAAATTACTTTTCTTAATCATTTACTACTCAAAAATCTTCATATATACCTGCCCTATATGCACAGTGTATAGAATCATAGAATCCTCTATGTTGGAAAAGAATTTCAAGATCATCAAGTCCAACCATCAGCCTGACCTACAAAGTCCCCACAGCCGGTATTTGCAGATGTAGCTCATTTATGCTCACAATGAAAATATTTGCATACTGGAAACTGCTTGATCCAGACAAATACATTTACTTGTATACTCAGTACTAACCTAGTCAATAATGCACAGCAGAATTTTACTTTATTTTTGCATGACTGAAAATGACTGCACAATGCTGTAAACTCCAGAATTAAGCTTATGTGGATATCTGGAGAAAAAGATACAACATACAACCAACAACTTCATTAGTCATTACTCCTATCCAAGGTGGTTATTCACAAGTTTTCAGAAATACTCCCACCATTATCGCTACAGAGCTCAGATGCACTACCAGTGCTCTGGGATGTGCCGATTATGTACATAATCCGATTGGTTCCATCTTCCAGAAACACCCCCAACCTGACCTTGTCACCAGTTGGTTCATCCAGGCTACCATTCAGGTAGCAATTTCACATACTTGAGCTGGACAAATACATTATCAGACAGCAAACATCATTATCTTTCATCTGTGTCTGAAAGACTTCACTCCAACTAGTCATTTAGCAGTTTCAAATAAACAAGTCTTAAATAACACACAGCCAAAATGTTCTTAGATGTGTGCCTAACCAGAGAACATTAATGGATGAAGGGCACGTAACATCAACCAACACAAGAGCATAAACGGTACTAGACAAAAATACATACAGTAACCGGAGCACATAAAAATTTCTATGGACTACTATTTATAGATGAAATATAGAATGG